TCATGAAGGGAGACAAGCTTGGGAGACAAGCCGGCAGCGGCAGCCAAAAGCGAAATCATGAAGGGAGACAAGCTTGGGAAACAAGGCGGCACCGGCAGCCAATTTCCGCAATCCGGAACCCAGCCATTGAGAAGTAAGAACCCCTATAGCTTCCAGCTATCTGGGAATGAATAGAAATGCTACATGGCCAGCGGAAAAGGGCGGACACCTTTTTTGTGACAGACCTGGGAGACAAATGAATAGGCATGCTACATGGCCAGCGGAAAAGGGCGGACACCAGCAGTGACACAAAGGGCGGACATATCTTAAGAAAGAATTGAGAACCCTAACAGTAAACTGTTTGGGGAATCAATTTCCCGCAGTAGCTATTGGGGGCCTAAATTCTCGAGGGAACTGCGCTCTCTTTAGCTAACTCCTGTCGAGACAGCTGCGCCCGAGGCTAGCTCGAGAACGGCTCCCAAGAACCGCGAGTTTGTGCACGATGGCAGCTCACATCACCCCAGTGGGTGATTTGGATTCGATGAAGTCTCAAATAGGTTTCATCGTGAGTATGTTGGGGAAGGTACCTGCCATCTTTAGAGCCACCCGAAAGTGCTCGACGGTGTTGCCAGAACCGGCATGCACCCTATTCACACTGGCAAGAGTTATTTGGTGGAACTGCCAAAAAATGTCAAAGCCCAGAACCTCCTAGGTTCACAACCTCCAATAATGTCAGGAGCACAGACGACACCGTCAATAAATGCAAAATTCAGCCACCCCCGAAAACCTGCAACAGCCTGTACGAGTAGAGTGACAGCTTGATAAAACAATTCAAACGGGCAGTTCAAACTGGCAGGTACGCAGCTACACAGTGCAACAGATGCGTCTTCGTTGGCTGGTGTGCACACACATACACAAACATGAGAGCACACATGCACCAAACATTTAGCTTGACACGCAATCTGCAATTAGAGATTTGAAATGTCTGTGCCTGACAGGAGCGCACATACACAATATCTTGCGAGATCAATTTGAGATTCACAAAGTGCTGTGCCTGCCACGAAATCTCAATATTCAGGCGTGCCTGCCACGAAAGTGCGATGGGAATATACTACTTTGTTTGATCCTGTTGTTTTGGAAATTTTGTTGGGTGTGTTTTTGGATGTCGATCCCTTTCTTACTTTTTCCCCGCTTATTGGGGGATAGCGACGTCCATGTTCAAAGGCGAACCTACCTGCGGTAGGTTTTGGGGCGCATTCGCACAGAAATACGTCCAACTCCCTTCTCCACGAGCCACCTGACCCGGAGTTTCCCTCGCCAAGCTTCTCGCTCGTCGTCAAGAAGCTCGTCTCATTGTTCTCAGCCTTTGCCCCGCAAACCCGCACACTTGTGGGCACAAAAATCTTGGCTAAGTCCTTGTTCAGCTATCTACACTGAAGGCCAAGAGATTCATCAAGACAGCTGAAGCAAACTAGGAGTGTTGTCTGAGCAAACACATCAGCACCGGTTATTCAATTGCATGGCATGACCTGTCTATTGAAATGCTTCCGTTACAAGCACGTGTACCGTGTATGTGTGCATTAATTCAAGCGCGACACATGACGCACAGCTAGCTGCCGGCCCACCGGGAAGGCAATCTGCTGTCCAGTACTGTCAGCAAAAAGCGCAGCTTCGCGAAGTGGAGAGCCACAAAGGGAACCAAAAACATGCCTTGAAGCCACGCGTTGAGAGGCTGAGACGGCTTTCTTTTTTCTACTCTTCTCTTGCTGGGGCAAGAATGGCGCATTCACCTCTCCGATTCCCCATATCGTATGGTTCAGATTGTTTCCGCATATGGGCATCCTGTGTCTGGCATGTGGCAAAAGACATTTGCTTGCGTGGGCTGCCTCCGGCCACCTGCCAATTCCAATACATGCTAGTACTGAAGCCACTTCATTGCACCGACGAAGGATCTATCTAGCTGCCTCGACAACATGCCCCACCAAAACGTGCCCACAGGAACAAGGCTCACCCACAAGGAATACCAGACCGTTGGTGAACTCACAGCCCAGGAAAAAACAAGATGGAGCCCACGAACCCGAATGCAAACACGTTCGAAAAGCTACGTATGTCCAAATGACACTCTTGTAGGACACTCTTGTGGGACACTCTTGTGGGTCACTCTTGTAGGAAACTCTTGTGGGACACTCTTACGGGACACTCTTGGGGG